GGTGGTGCTGTTGCTGCTGGTTGTTAGGGCATTCTCGAGCCCAGCGACCTTCCATGCCACAGATGAAGCAAGCTCCTCCCCACTGAGGTCCCCGTGGGGATCCACCTCTGTCTCTCCCCCATCCTCTACCTCCCCTGTTACCTCCCATGGGAGGCCTCCACGGTTGTCGGTTCCACTGCCCCTGATGGGAGTGGTGTGGATCCACCCAAGGTGGCATGGGATACAGGTCTGGGGTGTATGGTTCCGGAGGTGGAATTCCAGCCACCATTTGCTTACCTGTAGGCTGTGGTGTAGTTTTCTTTTTCTCATTTATTTTTTGCCTCCTGATCTTTAGCTCTCTGTAAGTGATGGACTAAATGTCTCTCCCAAACCTGTGAGTCAGGATTAGCTAATATAGCATCCTTCACTGCTCCCAGAACCCCCTCCAATACAGCCCTACGGAACCACTCCTGCTAAACTCTGCCTTTCCCTGGATGGCACCCTGTGCACTTGGTCCATGTCTCCTTACTCCTCTCTAAATAGTCTCTGGGGCTCTGTTCTGATTTCCAGGGCAGCTTAGGGACCTTCGCTGAGTTTGGCAGGGGAAATCTGTTTCTCATGGCCTCACCTATTCTGCAAATGGTGTCTCATCAGGATCATCATCTGTATGGGCCTCCTGTTCTAGGTCCCTCAACACATGACTGGCCATACTCCTGGCTGCTACTGCTCTCCAGTCTCCGAGGGCCAATTTCTGTCCTGCTGTGAGTTTATCTAGTTGTCCTAACCACAACCCCCCGCCCTCCGTTGGCGGTGGCATTTTGTCTACCAAGGCTTGTATGTCCCCTAGTGTCAAAGGCTTGTACCTCTCCATATCCACCCCCTAGCTGTATCAGAGGGAAATTATTGCCTGCTGCCCTCGCCCCCTCTCCTGCTGTATGCCTCAGCTCCATTCCATACTTACCTGCACTGTTCTCCATTCCTTCAAGTAATTGTTCTGCTTCCGCCTGTTTCCTCGCAGATTACTGCAGTAGTTTCTGCACCGTTCCCTTGTTCACTAGAACGTGGGATCCGGACTGAGAGCAGTTGGCCCTGCTCCCCCTTTTTACTCCTTCGCCCCGTGTCCCGCTGGCTGTCCTGCGGTGGCCATTGATCCACTGCTGTCCACAACTCACTTACCTCTGACTCCTCCTCTTCTTATAGTTCACTATCCTCATCCTTCCACTGACCTGAGAGCTTTCCCCACACTTCAATCTTTTTTATTCGAGTTCCGGGTTTCTTGGGCCCTTGTTCCCTTTTTGCTGTATTTTGTTCTCTCCTGGCTCGAGCTCGGAAAGGTTCATGATCCATTTCCCTCTCCTTGGCCTGATATGATCCTACTGAGCTGGTTTCCTCCTCCTCCTTGTGTTTTTCATGTTTAGGGGTGATCTGTCTGGATCCTTTATTCTCAGGCTCTGTATCCACCTGAAATGTGCCTCCTGTCACCTGCAATGTTGGATACATACTTACCGGAGGAGCACTGGGCGGGTCACTAGGCATTGCTCCATTTTTGTTATAAAGAGGTGGTGCCCCCTCTTTTTCGCCGTCCTTGGTGTCTGGTTTCCTTCTGCCAAGATTTCTAACCCCTTGGCAATCTACTGCCAGGGCAAACCATTTCTGTCTCTCCTCCTCCCATCTTTTTTCTTCTTTTCTCCACTTCTCTCCTCTTGTGCATCAGCCCTGCTGTTGCCTTCTGTTCGCGCTTCGTCCCACTTCCACTCACATTCTCATACCTTCTTCCATACTACACCGTGCAGCGCACCCACCCCTTCTGGTCCAGGTGCTTCCTCTGCAACAACACTGTCCAGTTTGCGCTTTGCTTCCTCCTTTTCTTTGTCTCTATCTTTTCTCTTATGTGTGTTACCTACCACCACTACAGCATTTGCAATTTGTTCTCCCCACGGCTTCCATGGCCCCCATCATCAATTTCTCTGTCAAACTCTCTATCCATCTTTACCCTGCCTTTCTTGTGTACTAGCCAGTCAGTTTGTATGGAATTCACCCAAGCAACTGACCCAATCAAACAGTACTTCTCACTCAACTCACTTCATTGTTACCGTTAGGTATCCGTGAAATAAAGGGGAGGTTTTTCGTGTTTGAGACACTAGCACCCACAATTGCCCTGGAGAGTATCTTTCACACACTCATACAATTCATTCACTGCCAACACTTCATGTAAATCACCTTTTATCTTTAGAATTCTGGGGTCCTGAATTCCCCGAGCCACTGACCCAGCGCTCTAGGGACTTTAACCCTAAGGGACTTTAACCCCAAGCCTTTCCTCCCCGTCGAGAGAGAAGTGGATATGCCAAATCAAGGACACAATAGTCACTTTTTAAACCCTTTTACCATAACCAATAATCTCCTCCAGTTAATGCACTTTCTCTTTTAAACGACGTCGCACTCAGGACCGATTTAGCTCTAAATTTGTATCAATTCAGGTCAAATCTGCAGATTCGTTAAAACGGGTTCTGCTTACCTTTTTAAGATGACCGGTCTGAACTACTTCGTTCCTTTGTGCTCAGTCAAGGGCCAAGTCGATGATTTCACTCTCATCCTGGACGAGCCCCCAAATTGTTGAAGTACGCCGACTTCACCAGGTCCGTTGATGAGAAGAGATCAGATGAGACAGTGCCTTAAGTTTCGAGACCTTTACTACCAAACCAAAAGCAATTGCAGATATATATCTGGAGACTCCTCACACCAACACAGAGTCTACTCTGAAGCAGAAAGCAGAGGAGTCTGTCTCTTCCTATGCAGCCTGACAATTTATATAGGTAACTGTACCCAGAGTGGTGTGTCTGTGTGTCCGTGTGATTAGCGATATGGATGTGTGTGGTTGTGATTGGGTGTGGATGATTGAATCACAATGTATGGTGTGTGTTTGTTTTAACACAACTTCCTCTTATCTAAGCCTCACAAACTAAGTATTGCAACACAAGTTACATAAGATATACAGAGAGCATCATGTACCCTTCTCACACCTGTTACCTAATTTTTTTCCCAGCTCCTGGGCCAAGAATTAAGTATAAATTTAAATAGAATTGTTTTCAGGTCCTTTCGTGAAACCAGTTTCCCCCAGAGGACAAAAGAGGTATTACATACCATTGTTCTACCAGTGCTCCGATTACCACTGGCACCACTGTTGCTCTTACTTTCCACATCTTTTCTAGCTCCTCTTTCAGCCCTTGGTATTTCTCAAGCTTCTCGTGTTCCTTCTTGTTTATGTTGCTGTCGCTTGGGATTGCTACATCTATCACTACTGCCTTCTTCTGCTGTTTGTCGATCAACACGATGTCTGGTTGGTTAGCCATCACCAGTTTGTCAGTCGGGATCTTAGCTCGGTCATTCTTAACTACCTTAAGAGGTGTCTTCCATTTTGACCTTGGGACTTTAAGCTTGAAGATAGACGTTAAGAAAAGAAAGACAGGTGGGAGTACAGATATTAAAATAAAAGCCAAGCTTGTAAAACCGTCAGATCTGTAGCATTATGCAGCACTAACGATATACCAGGGTGATGTTAGAGGAAAATAAATAAATAAACCTGGAGAAGCTGACAGCAGTGTTAGAACCAGGTTAGAACATAAAAGCATGCAGGTTTATCTCTGGGCTGAGGGTGAATGATGAAGATAATAACTAGGCTGCAAATAAAACATAAATATCAAAAACCAAATAAATTGAACAACAATAAATACATCTACATCAGTAATCTGGATTCAAAACATTTAATAAAGACACAGTACAGGCCTTCATTTAAATCCTGCCACCTGCTGGTAGAAAGGGGAAAAAGCTTGGTTCATTATGGTGGAAACCACATTAAATATTAACTTATTAAAAATATAGTGCTGACAGTAACAACTCTGCACACACAGTCATTTCTTAGGTTAACCTATATTAGCCTACCAACTGTACTGCACCAAACAATGTGCTTAAAAATCACTCTTGCCGTTTACATGAATAAATGCACAATATTAGAGTGTAATTATTAGAGTGTGTTTAGTCAGCTGCTGTTCCTAACGTATTTCTCTCGGTCCAGGTTTATTTATGTATTTATTTATTTTCATCTAACGTCACCCTGGTATAACGTTAGTGCTGCATAATGTTACAGATCTGACCGTCCTACAAGCTTGGCTTTTATTTTAAAATCTTTACTCTTACTACCTGTCTTTCTTTTCTGTCTGTCTTACAACGGAGAAATTAAAATAAGAATTTCAAAAAACAAAAGATGGATGTCTCGTTGGTTTTGTGGTTCAAATGAAAAAACAAACATACACCCCTCACATTTTTGTAAATATTTTATTATATTTCATGTCACAACACTAAAGAAAAAACACTTTGCTACAGTGTAAAGTAGTGAGTGTACAGCTTGTATAACAGTGTAAATTTGCTGTCCCCTCAAAATAACACATCACACAACCATTAATGTCTAAACCGCTGGGGGGAAGTGAGTACAACCCTAACTGATGGATGGAATTTTCAATTGACCACTAACTCAGAACGCTTTCCCACATGTTCCACAAGATAAAGCTTCTCACCTGTGTGGGTTCTCATATGTTTTTTAAAAGCTGAAGTGTCACTAAATCTTGTCCCGTAGGTCTCACATAGCTACAGCTTCTTACTAGTGGTTTTTCATATGGGTTTTATATGCTGAAGCATCACAGATTGTTTTACCGCAGGTCTTGCAAAGGTACGGCTTCTCACCTGTGTGGATTCTCATGTGCACTTTTAAGTAACTCCTCCAGCTAAAAGATTTCCCACATTTTTCACAAGAATACGGCTTCTCACCTGTGTGGATTCTCATGTGTAGTTTTAAGTAACAACTTCGGGTAAAAGAATTCCCACATGTTTTGCAAGAATACGGCTTCTCACCTGTGTGGGTTCTCATGTGTAGTTTTAAGTAACTCCTCCAGCTAAAAGAATTCCCACATATTTCACAAGAATACGGCTTCTCACCTGTGTGGGTTCTCATGTGTAATTTTAAGTAACAACTTCGGCTAAAAGATTTCCCACATGTTTTGCAAGAATACGGCTTCTCACCTGTGTGGGTTCTCATGTGGCGTTTCAACTCTCCGCTCCGGCTAAAAGATTTCCCACATGTTTTGCAAGAATACAGCTTCTCACCTGTGTGGGTTCTCAAGTGCGTCTCAAAAACGACTTGTTCTGGAAACCTTTTCCACATGTGTCACATGTGAAAGAGTTTTTACCTGTGTGAGGATCATGGAGAACCTCTGACATGGTAGACTTGTGTACATTGTTTCTGGGGCTTCTCTTGTTGTGATCTTGATTCTTTTGTTTTGGCTCTGGATCTCTAGTTGATCCTGAGTCTTCATGCTCGCCTCCTTTCTGATCTTGGCTCTCAGCTACAGGACAGCTGTGAGAGAGGAGCTGGTGGTCACTTTTCAGTTCTGCTTCACTGTGGTCACTTTCCTCATGAGTAGAACTCAACATAAAGGTGTCAGTCTCCTGCTTCACTACAAGCTGCTCTCCCTCCTGACTGGTCCAGAATTCCTCCTGTTCCTCTTTAACCTGTGGAGGCTGTGGGTCCTCCTGGTCCAGACCAGCCAGAACCTCCTCCTCCTTACAGACATGTTGCTGTGGGAGCTCTGGGGGCACAGAGAACAAAAGGAACAGGCTCACGTTACTACTCTGATGGCAAAGAAAGAAAATGCAGACACGAAAGCAGTATATATTTAAATACACAAAATCCATACTGGTATTCACATAAACCTCCGTAACTGCTGTGTAACTTATATAATGAATGTTTCCTCACCTATCCTGTGTAACTTTATTTCGGGTTTCCAAACGATATCCAGCAGTCTGCGCTGACGATCGATCTCTTTCTCGTACTCGACGATAGTGTTTTTAAAAACTCTGAATATTTCTTCAGCAGCAGCAGTTAGTCGCTCGCTGACAAACTCTCTGAAACTCTCAACTGAACTCATTGTTGCTGAACTACAAATTAAATAATTAGCGACGCTACAGTAACTTCCAGCGAATTCAAAAGTTGCGACCAACGCCGGAGCTTATATTGGTTCACTTCCATCGGATGTCACACTATTAAGTTCCGACAGCAGAAGTGCGGGAGCTTTTCGTTCCGCTTTCAAATGATAACCTGAAATTCAAAACTTGTGTTTATTATCAGCAGTGATGGACGAAGTACACAAATCCCGCACTTGAGTACCCTGCAAAATATTATCACACTAAAAATAGAAGCTTCAATTTAAATTTCTACTTGAGTCAAAGTAAAAAAGTACTGCTTTTAAAAATAGGTATCAAAAATATAAAGTATTATGGTTTTCAGTGGTTGCTGACATGACAAACAAAATTTAAAAACGAACAAAATAGTCAATTAAAGTTCTGTTAATCGCCTAATTATTCAGCTCCTACTTGTAGAATTTGTTGTTTTTTTAGTTTAATTTATACATTTACATTTATTAATTTAGCTGATGCTTTTATCCAAAGCGACTTATAACTTTGCAGATAATAATTTTGCACAAAAAAAGCAGTTGTGACTGCATGAAGCTTTCATTCACATGTTTTTGAGTAAGAATAGTAAGAACCAAAAGAGTTTTTGGTGAAGAATTAAAATACTGTTTACATGTTTAACAATTATTTTATTGCAAAACTGATGGTATTTCCTGTTTGTTTCCTGTCAGTCAAACTGTTTCTAAAGCAGCCTGCCAGTCTTTTGAAGTGATTGCACACCATAAATACTGACAAAAACTACAAAACGCAAATTGAAAAATGAACATATATGACAATTAGCCGTCCACATACCACTATCAGTGTGTGAAACAAAGATCTCAAAGATGTAGAAGACTGATTGCTCTAAGAAATGCTTTTGCTCAAATATAAAGATATAGAGAAAGACTCACCTGTTGAAGAACTGTGAGGTTATCCATCTTTTTACTGAACTGGAGCTGTATGTTTGTAAGAATATTGCTTCTCATCTGTGTGGATGCTCTTAAACATGGTAGAGTTATGTACATTTATAGTGTGACTATTGATTTTGTGAGGTACTTAAATGGAACGACATTAACAGACAATGAATTAACTTGTGTAGTGAACCAACCATTGGACACTTAATTATTTTATGCCAAACGGAAGAACACAGCACCTCCCCTTTGTCTTCCCCTAAGAAGGGGGGTGGGGTAGAGGCTTTGTTATCACCCCTCAAGCAGACGGCCTGACTCCAAGCTGAAACACCTTAAAGGAGGTGGGGGTGAAAGGTCTGCCACATCAAAAGCCTTGTTTCCATTCTGAGTGCTGGTTGGGAAGCTTCAACCATAAAACCCACCATCTCCGGTGAAGTTGAGATTACTGACTCTACTCATGACTGTTAAAATGACAATATTAACCTTGTCCAGAGACTAACCTCACTCTAAACCAGGCTGTGAGGACCTCAGCGGCCGTAAACTAAAGGCATAAACTGAGACTCTCATACACATGACAAACAATGCCTCTCTCTCTTGTGGGTCAGGAGCTAGAGTGGGCGTACCTTAAAAGTGCTTTGAGTGGTCGAAAAGACTAGAAAGGCGCTATACAATGACAGAGCATTTACTTTATTCGCGCTGATAACATTCCCAGATGCCAGGAAAAGGAGGACACAGCCCAAAAAATTAAATCTTGTGAACATGATGCCTTATAAGCTGTCTTGTATTACTTTGTTTGAAGTAAATAATCTTTGTTAAGTTAGTTAGTGGCCCTCACCTCTTCAATTTCAAGTAGTTTATTAACATGTTCTTTTTTAGAAACTATGTTGAAAAGCTAAAAGAGTCATAAGGAAAGTTGATTTGCAGAGCTCTTAATTTCATTCCCTTGTGCTCGTTTACATTCCTGCCTGTTATATTTTTTTATACCAATGCCGTGCTTTAACGCCTTCTTATACATTTTCTGTTAAGAACATATTATCCTGTTACCTAATTCATTTTCCCAGCTCCTGGGCCAAGAATTAACTATAAATTTAAACAGAGTTGTTTTCAGGTCCTTTCGTGAAACCAGTGTCCCCCAGAGGACAAAAGAGGTATTACATGCCATTGTTCTTAAACTTTCTCCTTTGTATCCTGTATCTTTCACTGTTTGTGTTTTAGTGTTTCAAATACTTAGTTATATATTTTCTCAGCAGGAATGTTTAATAATCGGTATTATCCTGGAAATATTTAGTTAAGCTGTTCTTTCATCTGTTCTATGATCCCTATTCTAATCGTTACAGACAATTAACAATAGTTTTTCCTTTCCTTTTATGAAATGCTTGAAAGTAAGAAATGTGTAACTATTTATGGTATTTAAGAAAATAGTTGATATTGTGGAAAGATGTTTGAAAAAAACATGCAAACAGACTTTAAGACATCAGAATCAGAAGGAGCTGATCTGTATCAACCTTAACTGTCTGTACTTCTGTGTGTATATTGTGAAGGCTGCTACCGCTCCATCTCTCCCTCACCCCCAACCTGTAGAGGCAGATGGCCACCCGCCCTGAGCCATGGTTCTGCTCGAGGTTTCTGCCTCTTAAAAGCAAATTTTTCCTTGCCTGTGTCGCCTAGTGCTTGCTCGTTTATGGGAATTGTTGGATTTCTGTTATACTATCAGAGTTTGGTCTAGACCTGCTCTTTTATGAAAAGCGCAGTTGTTATGATTTGGTGCTTTATAAATAAAATTGAATTGAACTGAATTATTATAAGTTTTTGGTCCTGTGCTGTGCTGATCCAGTAACGAGCTCGGTGCCTTGGGATCTGCCGAGGAACAACGCTGATCCATCTCAGACTTCTCTTTAAATTTTCTCTCTTCATGTCGCTTTTGGGTGTAATTGTGTGTGTTGATGTTTGTACTTGTGTGTCTGTGGGGGTTAGTGTATGTCCATGTTTGGTCCTTCCACTTCTCCTTTTCTGTCCCTGTCTCTGCTGCTAACTCATAGTATTGACGTCTTCACCCAAACGCAACCTTTTGCATAATGATTAACCTTTACCCTTATGTTCCTTACCTTGACACGAGTGTCAGGTAATATGGGGGAAAACAGTTTAATGTGACATGAGGTTTTGGTCCTAATAGACCCTCGGCCACAATCCTTCCTGCTTTCCTCAGAGTCCTGGAGGAGTACCCATCATGGAGGGATGGAAGTTTGCAGCCAATCGCCTTCTCTGCGGAGTGGGTGATGGTGTCCAGGAAGCAGAATGACTCCAAAGTGTCGACTGTGGAGTCGCACAGGGTGATGGGGGAGGGTGGGGCTGGACATCTTCCTTGAAATCCACTGCCATCTCCACTGTCTTCAGAGTGTTTAGCTCCAGATGGTTCTGGTTGCAACAGGACACCAGATGGTCAATCTCGCACCTGTGTTGAGCCCAATGGGGGTGGTGACACCCACAAACTTCAGAAACATGACGGACTGGTGACAGGAGGTGCAGCTTCCAGCGGTTTGTGTACAGGTAGAAGAGCAGAGGAGAAAGAACACAGCCTTGAGTTGAACCATTACAGACACTCAGAGCCATGTTTTCCCATCTTCACGAGCTGCTTCAGGAAGTCTGTGATCCACCTGCCAATGGACTCAGGCACGCTCACCTGGTAGAGCTTGTCCTGCGGCAGAGCCGGGATGATGGTGTTGAAAGCAGAACTGAAATCCACAACCAGGATCCTGGCAGAGGTTCATGAAGGGTCCAGCTGTAGTGAGGGGCCATGTTTATTGCATCATCAATTTTTTTTTAAACAGAGGAGGAACAAATCGGGTTATAAAAATACCCGTGTCCGTGTGGACCAGGCCTAAGTCTGAAAGCTTTCCCACGCTGCATGTTCTCTTATTGTCCATTGTTTCATTTGTTATTGAAGAGTTATTGTTGCTGTTGTTCTGAGCATTTTTAACAAAAGCTTTCAAAAAGTGATGGAGACATTCTGATTCTGACATGTCCCCAGTGAAAATGACACCTATCTTTCAATATCTTTAAATGTCCCGCCCCATCCAGGCTGTGATTACTCGGTTCACAAGTGACACTGACGAGCTACATTCAGCATGCCGCTGCTTGAAAGGCACCCCAGCTTCTCTTCTCCCTCGTCTCTCCCCGCCGACAGAGTTTAGCAGGCAGGTGAGAACTGGAACAGGTGAGCGTCACGTAGCACCCAGAGAACCTGATATGGAGAGGGCACAGGAGAGAGGACCGGCAGCTTGGGAAAATGTCCTGGTACGCCAAAGAGAAAAATGTTGAGGTGCCGATACTGCGTACCTGCGCTTACTGGCCCACATCAAGCCAGTGATCGCTGGTTCTAAAGTCTTTCCCACATGTTGCATTGTCCAAAAAAAGTAACTAAAAACCCTAGGTACTGCTGCTTACTGCATTATATTCTGTTATATTTTTTATATGAAATGTCACCTGCCAGCTGAATTTTTTGTTTCCCTTTACATTAAAAAGTCATATCTACTATAAATTGGATCAGAAAATGTCTCCAGAATACAGGAAATTAAGTGTTTAATGTTCCTAAACGCAACGTGTCGTTGGAGCACAGGGCTGGTTGCTGATAATGAGCCTCTGCCATTACAAAACAGCCTTTTGCAGCTACAATAGTCACTTACAACATTAATAATGTCTACACTGCATTTCTGATCAATTTGATGTATTTGTAATTGAAAAAAACTGTTTTTCTTTTGAAAACAAGGAAGTTTCTCAGACCCTAAACCTTTGAACAGTCGTGTGTGTGTGTGTGTGTGTGTGTATATATATATATATATAGGATCTCACAAAAGTGAGCACACCCCTCACATATTTGTAAATATTTTATTATATTTCATGTGACAACACTAAAGAAATGACACTTTGCTACAGTGTAAAGTAATGAGTGTACAACTTGTATAACAATGTAAATTTGCTGTCCCCTCAAAATAACACATCACACAGCCATTAATGTCTAAACCGCTGGGGGGGAAGTGAGTACAACCCTAACTGATGGATGGAATTTTCAATTGACCACTAACTCTGAACGCTTTCCCACATGTTCCACAAGAATACGGCTTCTCACCTGTGTGGGTTCTCATATGTTTTTTAAAAGCTGAAGTGTCACTGAATCTTGTCCTGCAGGTCTCACAAAGTTACAGCTTCTCACCAGTGTGGGTTTTCATATGGACTTTCAAGATATTCCACCAGCTAAAAGATTCCCCACATGTTTTGCAAGAATATGGCTTCTCACCCGTATGGGTTCTCATATGGTTTTTAAATGTTGAAGCGACACGGAATCTTTTACCACAGATATTGCAAAGGTACGGCTTTTCACCTGTGTGGGTTCTCCTATGTGTTCTTAATGTTGAAGTGTCACTGAATCTTATCCCACAGATATTGCAAAGGTACGGCTTTTCACCTGTGTGGGTTCTCCTATGTTTTTTTAATGTTGAACTGTCCTTGAATCTTTTATCACAGATATTGCAAAGGTACGGCTTCTCACCTGTGTGGATTCTCATGTGGACTTTTAAGGCACCACTCTGGCAAAATGATTTCCCACATGTGTTGCAAGAATACGGCTTCTCACCTGTGTGAATTCTCAGGTGTGTCTGAAAATCTGACTTGTACTGGAAACCTTTTCCACATGTGTCACATGTGAAAGAGTTTTTACCTGTGTGAGGATCATGGTGAACCTCTGACATGGTAGACTTGTGTACATTGTTTCTGGGGCTTCTGCTGTTGTGATCTTGATTCTTTTGTTTTGGCTCTGCATCTCTAGTTGATCCTGAGTCTTCATGCTCGCCTCCTTTCTGATCTTGGCTCTCAGCTACATGACAGCTGTGAGAGAGGAGCTGGTGGTCACTTTTCAGTTCTGCTTCACTGTGGTCACTTTCCTCATGAGCAGGACTCAACATAAAGGTGTCAGTCTCCTGCTTCACTACAAGCTGCTCTCCCTCCTGACTGGTCCAGAATTCCTCCTGTTCTTCTTTAACCTGTGGAGGCTGTGGGTCCTCCTGGTCCAGACCGGGGATCCTCTCCTGAATCCAGAGCTGCTGGTCAGCCAGAACCTCTTCCTCCTTACAGACATGTTGCTGTGGGTCCTCCTGGTCCAGACCGGGGATCCTCTCCTGAATCCAGAGCTGCTGGTCAGCCAGAACCTCCTCCTCCTTACAGACATGTTGCTGTGGGAGCTCTGGAGGGACAGAGAACAAAAGGAACAGGCTAACGTTTCTACTGTGAGCTCAGTAAAGTTGGAAATATGTTCACAAATTCAAACTTCTGGGGTCAATAATTCAGAAGAAAACACAAACGTAGCCTCTTTGCTATCATAGTTAAGTAGACAAGGTAATTTTCACAAAAATGATTCGTCCTACAAGCTGCACAAATAACATTTGTCTCTATGTGCAGCGGCTGTGAGACGAGTGTACATGTACAGTCTACAAAGTGCAATGACGAAAATAAATCATATTCAGTAACTTCACTCTTGTACAATGTAGTCACATTTTGTGTCACATCACACATTCATGATCTCCAGCTGCTTATACAACAACATTTCCACTAAAGAAAATTATAAAGGCAACACTTGAGTTAATCATGAGCTGAACTCAAAGATCTGAGACTTTCTCTATGTACACAAAAGACCTATTTCTCTCAAATATTGTTCACAAATCTGTCAAAATCTGTGTTAGTGAGCACTTCTCCTTTGCCGAGATAATCCATCCACCTCACAGGTGTGGCATATCAAGATGCTGATCAGACAGCATGGGTATTGCACAGGTGTGCCTTAAGCTGGCCACGATAAAAGGCCTTAGGCTGGCCACAATAAAAGGCCACTCCAAAATGTGCAGTTGCATCACACAGCACTCTCTATTGGTAATTAACAACAAGCCTCATCCGGGCAGAAATCGGAATTGTGGGTGAAATGTAAGAAACGTGAGTTGTCTTTTATAAAACTGCTGACAAATAAAGTCACACCAGACAGATACAGGAAAAGAGAGAGCGAGAGAGAGGGAGACAGGTGTAGGTGTGTGCCTGTGTGTCTGATGGGAAAAGCAAGGTGAGCAGATTACTGTATGTGATTAAACACAAAAATAAGTTGGAGAATTAAGCAGAACTTACGTGATATTTAAACAATTTTTGCTTTGTGTTGTTGGTCAAAAGAATAGTAGTAAGTCTTCCCTCTGTGTACACGTATCCTATACAAGTACAATTTTGGCTGTATTATTTGTGTTCCCTTCAAAAATTGCTCAAGTATATCTCAATATGAACATTTGGATGGTTTATTGACGTTTTGCAGTGTTTTGATCAGCAAAACAGTCACCTCCATGATCAGGGGCCTGTACTACAAAGCAGGATTAGAGCTTATTCAGGTAACTTCGGGGTTAATGCTGGGTTTTCAGTACAATGACGGTAGTTCACTTCTTACCAGTAACTTATGCTGAATGGCTAACCTGCTCCGGAGCAGGCTATGTTCCAGATAAGAGATCAACTCTATGAAAATGCCGCCTACTGATCACCATTTGTAGAAAATCCCACAGTGCTTTATGTTTGCTGCGGTGATACGGAGAAACTCTTGTAGGCTAAAGCGATATCATCCTACAGAAACTGATTATCCCTGTGAATCATCATGCAGCTAACGGTGTAGCCTACAAACTACATTCAGAAGCATATATCTAAAAGGACGATACGGAGATAAACAGAGTAATCGGAACGTATGTCCTGGTTAGCAGTCAATGGGCCTTCCTCATTTCCCAAACTCAGCGTGCCATCTTGAAAGACATCTCAATTCTTAAAATGCACATCGAGGAGGCTTGCTGGAGGATACATCGGCGTATCCTTTGCGAAAGTCTTTTCAGCCGCTGTGATCTTTACAAGAGGCGTGACAAGCAGCTGGACCAATCCATAGCCGGAGCAGGACTCTGCAGTGTTCCTATTTATGGATGTCTATCTGGGCTTCTAATTGTTGCACACGTCTGGTCTATGACCGACAGTCACTCCTGAACATTCGCACCTCTTTTATGGACTTTTATAAGCAGGATGTAGCGCACGTTTTTAATCAAACACACAGAAGCACCACTACGCATACATTGGAATGTATTCGCCAGTGGCCTCCTGTCACTTCACGGAGAAAACACAGAAGGAAACGCGGGAGTCGGGGTGGACGCATCATTAGATTGAAAGCTATTGAAAGACTCAGGATCGATCTAAATCCAAATCATATGTCGTGTTATGGCGGATATGTTGCCTGGCGACCGCGAGCGCTGGCTCATCGGTGGCTTCAATCTATCATTCCCCTGCAATCTTCTCCTGTCCATTTGGTTGGCTTACCTCGGGTTGGCCTATGTCATCGGCAAAACGGCGTGAATCCTGGAAATCTACGTTCTTTGAAGAAAGCCGGAGTTTTCCCCGATGTGATTCATCCGCCTAAAATGGCTCTGATCAACACTCGATCCTTGGTGAACAAAACCTTCCTGCTCAACGACTTCTCCTCTCATAGTTTGGATTTTATGTTCATCACTGAATCCTGGACTAAGGTTGGTGATCTAACCCCTTTTTCGGAGCTAGTTCCAACTGACTGTACCTTTTTTAACTCCCCCCGTCCGAACAGACGAGGGGGGGGGGTCGTGACTGTTTTTAAAAACTCATTCTCTGTGCAATGCCGGCCGGTTCCTGTCAGTGCATTTTCTAGTTTTGAAGCTCAGCTACTTCATTTAGACTGAAATGGCCCTATTTTATTAGGGGTGATTTACCGTCCTCCACACTCACTCCAGGACTTCATTCAGCAATTTACAGAATTCATTGGTAATATCAACACAACCTATGACCGTTTTCTATTGGTGGGTGATTTTAATATCCACGTTTGTTGTCAATCTAACACCCTGTCAAAGGATTTCCTCAGCCTGATTGAATCTTTTAATCTAGTCCAGTGGATAAATGATTCCACTCACATTCAGGGTCACATTTTGGACCTTGTTCTTTCATATGGGATGGTAATCAGTGATGTTGTATATCTGATTTTATCCTTTGACCATAAGCCAATATTATTTTCTACATCTTTCCTTGCATTTCTCATCCCACTAGTGCAGATGTAAGACTGTTTAGGTCCTACTCTCCTCATTTTGGCTCAAATTTTAACGAGCACTTTATGAATTCCTCCTCACATTTGCTTCTGGACTCACCACTATTGGACTTAGATGCCGACCAGCACTCGGTCTGTTATACTCTACTTGGCTAAATGCCCTAAACGAATCTGCTCCGCTTAAGCCCTTCAAACCTAAACCGAAATCTGAACCATGGCTCAACGTGGATATTCGGCGACTAAGACAAGCTAGCAGAAAGGCTGAGCGCAAATGGAAGAAGGACAAGCTACACATTTCACTTCAGTTATTTAAAGTCAGTCTGTCGACCTACCAGAATGCTGTAAAGTCGGCAAAAGCTACGTACTTCTCTGACATGATTATGGCAAACCACTTTAGACCAAAGGTTTTATTTTCTGTTATAAACTTGGTTTTAAATCCTCCGTAAATACAATGTATGGTGCTTCGGATGAGCTATGTGAAAGTTTCTTGAGATTTTTATTGACAAAATATCTAATTGAGATGCAATGCCAGCCGCTACCACATGGAACACTCTAGTAGTTGATGAATTCTTTACCTGGGATGCCTTTGAGCCAATCACCCTGAACCTACTCAAAGAAATTATCGCCAAGATGAAACCTTCGTACTGCTCTCTTGACATCATCTCTCCTAAGTTTCTTAAATTAATTGTTGATTCAGTAGGGCCAGGATTGGTTCTTTGTTAATAAGTGCCTCCTTACCGGCTCCATCCCTGCTGCCCTTAAGGAGGCCACTGTCACTCCGCTACTCAAGAAGCCTTCACTGGCCGTGTTAAATAACTTCCGTCCTATCTCTGTATTGCCTCTGTTTCGAAGGGGTTAGAAAAAGTTGTTTTTGACCAACTCCAGCTCTTTCTAAAATGCAATGATATTTCTGAAAAATTTCAATCTGGTTTTGAATCTGCCCTGTTGAGAGTTTTAAATGACATCTATCGTTCCACGGACACTGGTGACTCTGTGGCTCTTGTTCTTCTGGATCTATCAGCAGCTTTTGATACGATCGACCACTCTATCCTGATATCCAGACTAGAGTATGATGTGGGGCTAAAAGTATCGTCCTCCAGTGGTTCCAGTCTTATCTCTCGGGTCGTACTTTCAGAGTAAAGTTAGGAAATTGCTCCTCTTCTGTTGCGCATCTAACCTGTGGCCTTCCTCAAGGATCTATCTTAGCGCCTTCTCTTTTCTCCCTATACATGTTACCACTGGGCACCATTCTAAGAAGACATGGGGTATCTTTTCACTGTTATGCAACGACACTCAAATGTACGTTCCACTCAAGTGAAATGATCCCTCTGCCCTTTCATCATTATTAGGTTGTCTAGATGAAGTAAAATTTTGGCTGGACCAAAATTTTTTTTTTAAATGAAAACAAAACAGAGATCATTGTTTTCGGGTCCACTGTTAATCCCCAGGCTGCCACCTTCGACCTAGGCAGACTATCGGCTTTTAGATCTTCAAGTGTACGGAACCTGGGCGTTCTACTGGATGAGTCTTTAAATTTTGATAAACAAAACTCCTCCGTAATAAGCTCTAGTTTTTATCAACTGCGTCTGTTGTCAAAAATCAAACCTTTTCTTAATCCTGAAACTCTTAAGGTGGCTGTTTATGCTTTTATCACCACACGTGTAGATTACTGCAATTCACTTTACTGCGGTATCTTGAAAACTCAAACTGCTCGTCTGCAATTGGTGCAAAATGCCGCCGCAAGATTCCTCTCAAATAGTCGGAAAAGTGACCATATCACCCCAATTCAACCCCTGTTATAACAAATCTCTATGCAACCAAGCACCGTGCTACCTATCCGAACTGCTTCAACCATATACTCCATCGAGAAGTCTGAGATCAGGTGAAAAGAATCTGTTATTAGTCCTCACTGCAGACTTAAAAGCAGAGGGGATCGAGCATTTTCTGTGGTTGGGCCTCGCCTGTGGAACAATTTGCCCACAGAAGTTAGGATAGCCCCTTCTGTGACCTCTTAAGTCACTTTTAAAAATGCACTTGTTTTCTTTGGCCTATAAATAAGGTTGTATATATATATATATATATATATATATATATATATATATATATATATATAT